GCTTTCATGCGCTGGAGCGTGAAATTTTTAACTGTTTTCCAATGTTTGAACTATTTTTGCATAGACAAAAGTATAAAGCAATGAAAATCATTAATAGGCAATCATTCAATGGGCTGAATTGCACAAAACGCATTATCGCACCGGCTAGTCTGGTGCGTATTGCTATTTATTTTCTCCGTTGAACATCTCTGAATCCCTGTTTTCCTCTGGTTGGATAACGGATCAGACCTATACTTATTTCGCCACATGTTCTTACCTTCCGCATAGCAAGATATCTCATAAAAATTGAGGAGTGACATTCGAGATGAAGTGGTGAGGCTTAACAAACAGCTCGAAATTTCCCAGGCAACTGATGGAACGCTAAGCTAGTTCCTTCGGAAGACGAAATTAACAAGACCATACGATGCAAAACTGGAAAAAGCAACTAAAAAAATTGCCTGTTGCACAGCTTGAGGACTAGACTTTGAATTACTAGAGATCCATAAATGTGAAGTTTTCAAAAATTGCTTTTGAGATGTCAACTAAAAATTTGAAAAAAAAAAAACCTTACAGCAAAAAAAAAACCTAAGCAATTGTAATGCATTTTTCTGTCCGGAAATTTCATGAATGATGCATTAGGCAGAAGCTATTTACGATTTTATTATTAATAAAATGTGGTGGGGCTCGTCAGCGAGCAAAATCAGCCATCAACTTTCTTACGGGCAACCCCAACAGCCCTGCTAGCTGGTGATACTGTTCGGGCATTTTCGAATATCACTACCTCTTACAAATAGTAAATATGGGAATGCTTACGGCTGACTGTAGTCCAGGCGGCTGTTCGAGTAACTTATGCATAATTTTTTATTCGGTTAAAACTGTTGTTGGTGTACTATGTACCATGCTTTGTAGTTGAATTAACGATTCATCATGCTGCTAGCAGCACTTTTGAGAAGTTCATGAACCTTATAGACTGGTTGGGGCGGTGGATGGCGTGCTCGCATGTTGTTGCCCGTATAGGCGATACACTTCAGCTGCCAGTCACCCACTTCTTCATTCCACCAAACGAATCGTTCGATGAGTTCCAGGTATTCTGGTGGCACATAATTCTCTTAAAAAAGCAAACAAAATTCAAAAAATAAATAAATACTAATACATTCACGACGTAATGCTTTCTTTTCAAAGTCTGAGCATTCTCAGAGCATAACCCCCCCAAACAATTTGGTGACCACGCCAAATTAGCACAAAACTGTGGCTGGAAAATTTTTTGCACAAGTGCCTTCTAATTTAGTACAATAGCCCCCGACAAAAGAAGGGGAAGAAACATTCGATGCCTGCTAACTAAAACGAATTCCACTGATCAAATCAACACATTCTTCCTTTGAAGTTTTCCCTCACCGCTTGAATAGAGCACTTTTTTGGTTGACGGAAGGGAATGTTGCGTTTTCGTTGGTCAGCCGGATCTGCTTTTTCATGGTTCCATATGGATTATTTTGGCACTCTCTCAGTGCTTCCCCCTCAAAACGTGCTACTGATCCAGCAAATGCAGGCTAATAAAGATATGACATTCTGCACAGCAAAACTTAATTTTCTAAGTTGAAAGCTAAACAACCGTTGGTTCAATTTCGCTTTCAAAAAGTTGGAAGAGCTGAACTTCAAATCCTCACCAATAATTAGTAACTGAAGCAGAAGTTCGCTGCGCAGCTGACGTACACTATCCAGAAGTCCCTCCATCTCGCGCTGATGTTCCATTTGCAGGTCGGCCAGCTCATTTTTTGCAGCAGCCAGCAAATTCCAAACTTTTTTCAGCTTTTTCGTCTTTCCATGCGCTTCTTCCGCCAGGCTGTTGTATTTCTCTTCCAAGTCAATCCTTTAATTACACACGTTGAGATGGCTCTGTTTTGAGTTATTAATCAAAACGCGCCAAGTAATCACGAGAAAAGCTAATAAAACAAACAGCTACGTATCCACCGTATTCTTCCACTACATATGGGCCTGTTTCATGTTTATGAATGCAAAAAATAAGTTCCAAGAGTAGTATGGCCGTAAACTGGTACCAGGGCGCCAAACAAATGTAAGAGCCGATCTTTAACTTACTTTGGCGAACAAAAAAACTGAAGGTCTTGTGGGAGTAAAGTGTTAAACAAACTCCGAATCAGCATAATTCAAGAAAAAAAAAAAGATTTCAAAAAGAAACCTTTCCTGATGTTTTTCAGCAAGTGCCTGTCTGAGTTGCGATTCGTTAAGACGTCCGCGTTCTAATTCTGCATTACTTTGCTCCAGCAACCGGGCTTGCTTTTCCGCTTTTTCAAGCATATTTTCGCCTCCAACAATGAGCTTCTTCTCGATTTGTTTCAGCTTATTCATCAGCGAATCGTGCTCTTTTCGAGCTTGAGCCAAC